TCAAACAATCAACATCTAGAGACAGCTGTGATATCAGATAGCTCTTTCAAAAATATTTTTTTCATGAATATGATTCATAAGCAACAATGAGATAGATTGGACTAAGTTCCTTAAACAACTGTAGTATACACATCCAATATTTCAGGAATTAAAGAAAAAACCTCTTGCCATGAGGAGAAGATGCAGCAATTCCTGGACATTCCTGGGGTATTTATCTTTAAGAAAGGCAGCAGAATGATTCTGGTTTTATTCATTCCTCAAAGTACTGCTCTTGGCTGGCTATCAGGTGCAATTTATGTTCTATTTTTTTCTCAGCTACCTATAAAAACCATTTTCATGCAACAAAAGATACACAGCCCTTCAATAACAAACCAAATCCCTTAAAGTATGAAAACTTTTACTCCACCTTCATCGTAACCGCATGATGATTTTCATCTTATTTGTACAACATGACAGGAGAACGATTACCTCAAAAGTAAGAAAACCCCTCCTTCAAAATTTCTAAAGATTTAGCATTACAAAAGACCGAGAACTTAAAACACCAGTCATGCTTCACCACCGAAACAAAACAGCTCAGCTGATGAACACGGAGCAGGTGCAATTTCTTAACAAAACTCTCCCATGTGCAGCAGCAAGAGCATTGCCACACACTAAATAAGCGAGGGCTCGGAGGACAGGAGCAGATGTGCACTGGCTGACTCGAGCACGGGCCTGCAGCAGGATGCACGGTCAGGTCCATCCATCCCAGCAGCTCCAGGCTCAGCCAACAGGAGAGCGCTCTGACCAGCATGAGTTAAGAGACGTGTCAAGCATCGAAGATCAGAAATGAAAGTCAGCTTGCTTGTGCCCCCCAGAGCTATCCCAAGATAGATTACTACAATCCCTTTCCGAAATTATGACTGGTGGAGAAACTTGCTCTGTTGGACTATTAGCCACCATAAAACAGGTGATTGAGATAAAATCCCTGCTACTTTTTGCCAACTAAATCCCATCAACATGTAAGTGCTACCAAAGATGAGGCTGCACTGCAGTTTGCAAGCATTGCTCCACAGGATACTGACCCAGTAACCCCAGTGCTGCTGACGATGCTGCTGCTGCTGTTGCTTCAGTTGTGGTCTGTGCCAATACAGACACAGAAATCTTAGGCTGCAGCATGTAGATATTACATGCGATAGATCACAAATATCCCTACAAAATATGTGTTTATGTAACAGATACCAAATATTTTTTTCAGATTGAGTATTCTAGCAATTGTTCTTAGCAAGGTTAACCATATACATTTCTACCACACGCCGTTGTGCACACTTCACTTGCAAGACCTTTCTGCACCTGTGAGCATTATGCCTTCAATATGATTACTAGTTTGAGCAGTGGATATTTTGCTTCTAAACACATATACTGCCCCTGAAAAAGCACGGCTCACAGCATATATACTGGGGTGTGAGAAATGCTGCCTCTGCAAAAATATGTACCCAGTACTCATGCCTACTTTAAGACTGCATCAGACAAGTGACACAGCAGCCACGGTATGATTTTACATGAACATGTAAGATTACTGTTTGTGACATTACTGAAAGGAAAGCCATAATTAGAACACGGAAAGAAAGAGATCTGAGCAAACATTCACATAAAATCTCGCTGGTAATTAAAGGAGTCATACTGCTTTCTGCTTCAAAACCAATAAACAAATTATCTGAAGAAAGCTAATAACAACAGCTGTAGTATACTTGACTTATATCACATCACATTTTAAATAAGATATTGATTTAATAATAAAAAACCATCAATGACAATTTGGAATTTTTTCTTGTTTTTAAGAAAATTGATGATGCAATGAGAGGTGTAACAACTCAGACAACAAGAGAGAAGGAAGAAAAATTACTTTTACCAGGCGGCAGAAAGATGCATTATCTTTCTGAAGATTCCTATCTTGCATCCTTCAAAAGGATTTTACTCTCCAAGTTTTCCTTTCTTGCAATGCATTCATGGGTTAATCTTTTTAATGAATGCCATTATTACAAATAAGGTAATTTTCATTTTTTTAATACTAATTTTCCTAAACTTGTCCCCTTCATTAAACTGATAGAATCAACCTTCTCCTATTTGCATTTGGGAAGCCTAGATCTGGACAGTTGAGATTTTAAAATAACTTAGGAAACTAAAGCCATACAGCAGACTGATGGAGTGGCAAACACTGAATTAAAGCTCTGAGTACTGCTACTGGACATTCATTTTTTTCAGGTATAAACATATTTGCAAAACACTAAATGTAATCTCAGAGAATATTACATTTACATTACAAATGCAGACAACTCCTGTCCAGTTAGTTTACTGGGTATTCCTCACTAAAGTGTGAAGCACACTGTTTTGCAGGTGTTCAAAAATGCTTCACATACTTTACATTCCTCATATAAAAGTAAAAAATACTGCTGGCTGAACACACTACTGCATTTGTTGCTACGCCATTTCTATTACCAGTTTCCAAACAGCGCTGCAAAATTTAAAGTTAATTGTTTTGCACATTTTGCAAGTTTACCTGTTTTAACCTTAATTTTATTCTGACATGTTATTAATGTGAAATTATTATTCTGACAAAAATACCTTACAATGGGACACAGGCCAGAGACATTCTCATTAAAATATAACTGATTTAATGTTTGTATTATGATTTAACAGAGATCTTGGAACATGTTGTAGAAAGACTGGGTTGTCAAACTTTGCTGAAAAACAATGTTTTTCCGTCATATTTTGAAGCTGCATTGCTGGTCAGAGATAGCACTGCATTTGAAAACTCACATCTTTTCATGGCACAGCCATATCATATGAAGATACTCAGGAGGTGTAGGGAAAGAGTTAAGAAAGCACTTCTGAATGCAAAGACAAAGTATGAGATATAAGATGTTGGGTACCTAAACTGAACATTAACTGCTCAAACTTGGATGCTGTTTAAGCTTTCCACAGCTGATAGCTGTAACAAAACTGAAATTTACATGTATATCAGTCCACATCCACTGAGTGAAGCATCCTGTCTGGAGGTGCTAACATGTTCACGAGACTCTGACAAGCCCAGAGGAGAAATGCAGCACTCTGCTGTCAGAGGTGAACTCATACCAAAAAAACCAAGCCAAGTGAGGTAAGACATATGCACCATCACCCTCTAAAATTACTCAGCATTGTTTTCTTTAATATTTTATGTGCAATATTTGATTTGCATTATCGTATTTCTTGTAAACAGTAGCTTGTATAAGAATGAAAAAATAATACTAAACTAGCTCATAACGGGTGTATGATCTGTACAGCAGTGATATTTTAAGGACAGCAGGAATTTTCTTTTTAAAAGAAAATCCTACAGCTATGCAATGTGGGTATATGTGCGCATTTTTCCAGTGATTTCAAATGCAGTTTTCAATGTATGAGCAAGGGAGGTGCTGTGGAGTTCCAGCACGTGAGCAGAATCCACCTGCCACAGTCCTGATCTGGGCAGCAAAGATCTTGCACAGATGCAGGACGAGTTCCTGTCCCCTGTCTCCTGCTGCAGCCTGGACTCGCTGCACACAGCAGCAGCTCCCGTGGGATTAAGTACAGTCGAACAATACCAAATGTAAAGTGCATCATGAAAAACACATGGCAGGCATGAGGGGAAAGCATGATTAAGAATTTAGGATGATTTCCTTTCTTTGCCTTTTATGCAGGGAACACTTCATGAGCCTTTAGACCCTGGATGTGTATTTGCACAAAATAAAATGTTTGCTTATTGCAAAGATTTACAAACAGTAGTCATTGATGGGACTTTTGTTACAATTATCCTTATTATTTTGGTTTAAATACTAGAATACCTATACAGGAGAACACAATATCTGTTTAATTTACAAGATGTAAATAGAAATTAAAATTCAAAATCTGTTTTGTCAGATTTTTTTCTGTTTTGCCATAAAGTAATTTTTATACTTCAGCTAAAATAAGCATAATTTTTTTTTTTTACTATAGCATTTGCTGTTGGCCATTGAGACTATTTTGGTACATGTTTTGTAAGTAACAGATTTTTTATCAGATTTATTCATTGACTGGATTTTTTTAAACACTAAATCCCTGCAATTCTCTTTGTGAGAATAAAAGGATATTCTGTCATAAAATAATTAAAAACACTGAGGACTTTTTTTCAACTAGTAAGAATATTAATTGGGTTCACCATCAAAATGTGATAGCATGTAAAATATCTTGTTTTGCATGTTAATGCTCCATAATTGCACAGAGCTTTTCAACTTCAAAGCTCTTTACATGAATTAAGTGGATGTCCCAGGAGGCCTTAAGCAGCATTTTCTCTGCCTTCTCAAAGAAGATTTGCACCAGACAAAAGCTTTGTGAAAAACACAGAACTGGGCTTTGTTTTTCCAGCCTACTGCCAGTGCACAGTGAGATAAAGTATCACTACCATTTTGCAGATGGAGAAAAAAGGGGAACTTAATGGGACAATCCCTGCTCATCTCAGACTCGGTACTTTACATCAGGAGTGATGCACTGAGAGAGTGAGAAACAAAATGCAACTCGATTTTCCAGAGCCGCGCCAACACATATGTCAATTATTTTTTTCAATTATACTTCCCCACCAAAGACCAAGCTGCTGAGAGTCCAGTGATTACCCCCTACTGCAACCACTCCACACACACTGAATTTGCTCAAGCATGCATGAAGAGAAAAAAATCATTTGCTAGAATTCAGTCAAAGGCTGTTACCTGGTACTCCACTTGGCTTCATCAAAAGACATTTGAAAAGTCCCAAAACCCAGGAGAGAAATAGTTATTCCCTTATATCAGACTGAAACCTATCACATGTCACTATGCAGTATTTTCACACTGAACTTTCTTTTCATTGTCTTTTAAACCATGCTACAAATAAGAAACTGCTACAGATGTTTACAACATCAGCGCTAAAGAATGAGTATTTTTCCAGCACCCTTTGCCAAAAGGGTAAGACCAACAAGTATTCCTCTTTGTACTTACCATGTGATTTCTATGCCACTTCACTGGACACAGGGTGTAATACATTGGGTCTTTTTATTGCTCAAGTAGAAAGTGCTCATTACCTATTTATGTTTATATATAGGAAAAAACAAAGAGTTATTACAAGGGGCATACTTCACACTGTTGTAGTGGTTGATTTCCTCAAGATGGTCTTCTGGGGTTTTGGCGCAGTTTGTGGAGGCACAGTTGCAGGTCTTGGAGGTGGAAAGCTATTACTGGGACTTATCCCCAACCCTCCATTTTCCAGAAGAAACGGAGGCAGGGGAGGTGGAGGAGGCGGCAGAGGAGGGCACTGGTGTGGCAGCTTTCCCGCAGCCCGGGACGGCTCGCCGTGCAAGTGCACCTCCCTGTTTTTGATGTTGTAGCGAACGTCACAGTCGGGGCAGTAGCCGTGGTACTGCACCTTCTCGCTGAACCGCACTCGCTCCCTGGCTCCGGCCTGGGCACACCGCTCCTTCTCCGCCCTGTGTGCCAGTGGCGGCATCACCACCTTCTCCAGGCCGCTGCTGGGCACACAGCACACATCTCCGTTGGGGACGCGGCCTGGTGCTGCGGGCAGGCCCCCGTTCCGCAGCAGGGTGCCATTGGTCTTGAGCGGGTTGGCCAAGGGAGGCAGCCTGGGGGGCTCATCGCACCTGACAGGCGTCAGGCGAGGCGGAGGAGGCGGCGGGTTGGGCTTGCGCAGCACGGTGAGGATGGCGGACGGGTGCGCGGGCGGCTTGATGAGCGGCGCGCTGCCCCGCACCTTCACCTTCTCCAAGCTGGAGGCCGTTGTGCTGCTGGAGCTGCTGTTCAGGGTGTCTGTTTTGGAGCTGTCTGTCATCTCATCCTCCAGCTGCAGATCACATGTCAGCGTGTCAATCTGGTCAACCACCTGCACAATAGTCAGAGTGAGAACAGTGAGAAAAGCACACACCAGAGAAGGCACAGAAAAACTAAACCATTCTCCGCTATCTGCTTGTCTTCCCCAGAACTGAAGCATCCAGTTTTTTTGACCATTATTTCTTTTTTCTTGTCAACGTAATAAAATAATCATAATAAAAATGAGGACAACAATAATGATAAGGATGGCTAGTTTGCTAGCTCATCACCTGAATAAAAGAGAAATATAACTTGAAACAGTCTAGAATGAAATTCCCTTTCTTTCCCTCCTGGGTTTACTTGGTAATATCATAGTGAGCGAAGTGTAATTCTTCAGCATTATGCTTTGCCTTCCGGTGCAGGAGGAGACAAAATTGTTCAGCTTTAGCTTCTACATGACAGCTTCTGAACCCAAAAATTCTGCAGAGCATCTTTTAACTCTGACCTTTCAAACACTCCAGATTTAAATATGCATTCTCTGCACAGGTGATATTATTTGTGTAGAATCATATGTTTGATACACAATTTTCTGACATTTTTTTTTAACATAAAAGAGACTATGAGAAACAAAATCTCTTTTGTGTTATCTCCCTTTATGAGCATTTTCTATAAGATCTGAAATCCTCCAAATAAATCCTGAAATAGCGTTTGCTGAAAGAGAAAATGTTGCTTGGTTTCCACTCACAAGTATTTAAGAACTCATGCACTTTATTTAAAGTTTTCCTCTACCTCCCAGAATTCTGGTTTTAGATTCTACATTGCTAGATCTTTTCTAGTCTTCAAGAATCCCTTTTCTACTGATTTTTAGATATGGCATGAAACCATTGGTGCGTTTACTTGGAGCCTTCCCTGCAAAATGCATTTAACTCAGTGGGCAGTTGAACAACTGTAGTTATGAGCTACACATAACTACAACAGATGCCACAGGAAGTAGCACTGGGACACATTTAAAAACTGATTTCTCTCCTTCACAGCCTCCCAGGGTGTGCCTAAAGTAATCAGTAGCTGAAATGTTGCTAACTAACTCCGGTGCATGAATAAAAACCTGTGCCATTGCTTTGGGTCCTTCTGGGAGACCTGTGTTGTTCTGGAGGAGGCAACCCAATACATCTGAAATGAAAAACCAGATGTGGCCATTGTGCCGCAGAAACTTTCATTTCTACTTCCTGCTTTCAATAATTTGGTGCTGATACTACTGATTTCAAACTATTTTTAGGCATATGAGCCACATAATAACTGCAAAAAACATGAAAGCCACTACTGAAGGCAGTGATTCTTTATTCAGTCAGATCAGTCCCCCACTTATGTGTCCAGTAGTAAAAGGTAAATAATAAAAGCAAAACCACCATAAAATGAAAAAGCACTCCAGCTTTCACTGCTCATACTGTAAGCTGAGTTGCGTAATACAAAATTCATAAAAATTCATATGCCTCAATTCAGTTTAGTGGTCTCCTTCTCCTAAAACCAGCAAACATGCAAATAAGCATCATTCAGAGAGCTTTCAAGCATCTTTGAAAAAACTTCACAATAATTTTTCTCTAAAAGTATTTCAAACAACTAATTTATTCAATATTCTAAGTCAGGTATCATGTTGCATTTAAATTTCTATTTTTCCTCAAAAAAAAAAAAAGAAAAGAAAAAAAGACAAAAAATATACCCTTAAACTGGAGACATTAAGTCCCTGAAATAATAAGGATTAAAAAAATTATTCTATAAGTTCAAATGTACAGTTGAACTCTAGTAGCTGCCAGATCCCACACATCCCCTCCAGGGCATAGCATATAAGAACTCAGGAAAATTTCAGAATAAAGGTAGACAAATCCCATCTGTACCAAAATTCATTCCAAGAATGACAGCTTACAAGTGAAAGAATTCTTATTATCACCTTCCATTACATAAGCAAAATAAGGCAGAGAGAATTTCTGAGAAGGAAACAGGAACAAAAAAAAAAAGTTCTGGGCAGTAAGCCTGAAATTTAAACATCCCTCTGGATGGATTTGTGTAAATATAAGGGTCTGCCTATATATATCTAAATATCCTACTGCATCCTATCATCTTTTATTAAATTTTAACAGTGATAGAATGGATTGATGTAATATAAACCAAAGAAATTCCTTGGCAGGCAAAGAAACAGAAAAATTATGCATAGCAGAGCAAAAAATTTTCTCAAGAGTAACAGGAAAGTCTGTTTATGAACTACCCTTCAAGTTAATGACTACAGAGTTTATCTCATGCCTTCTGGGCAAATGTGTAGTACACATCAAAATTTTTTTTGTCACTTATCCGTTTGTAGAACATAAATCCAGCATGAAATGGCTCTGACACAACAACACAGTTTATCTGTCTAGATTCATTCCCACCACAATTTGTGAGTCTCTGTGCTGTTCCTTTCTTCTGCTTTTTTGTCCCAGAAGGTAAAATTCAAATAAGATGAAAAAGCAACATGAGAACTCATGACTAACACAGAGAAACTGTTGTAGTTAAAAAAAAAAAAAAAACACAAACCCTTGTTTCACAGTGCATCCTCTATGGAAGTAAGAGAGAGAATGTTAATTAAAAAAAAAAAAAAGAAAAAGATAAAAAGAAAAAGGTGCTCTAGTTGTGCAGCAATGTGTCCATTCTTTCACTTCTGAATAAAACAGGACTTGATTCACATGTACAAATATTGGGGATGCCTAATTTTATAGTTCAGGGAGCCCCTTAGCCATTAACGGGATTTGAGCTCTGCATATATGCCCACTTCTACCCTGCCAGCAGTATCCTGAGGCTTCAAGCTTTGTAGAATCCAATGTGACACTCCTGAATGAACCAGGACATCAGTCTGTTCTTATCTCATCTAAGATATCTAATTATCTTAGCAATATTAGGTACCCAGAGTTGGATTTCTCTGCCAAAATACAAGATTACATCCTCAGCAACATGCATTTGGACTCAGAAATTCTGTGCTGCAACTAACAGCATGGAGAATTAACCAGTAAAATCAAGTTCAGGTAAAAAGGAAAAAAAAACTATTCAACCCCAACTAACAAAAAAAAAAAACAACAACCAAATCCCCACTGAAGTTGCAAACCATTTGCAATGCAAAGACATTTTACAGTTAACCCAATCCTCAATGTTACCAAACTTTTATATAAAGTTGCTTAAAACTACAGAGCTTGCATAACATATTGCTTTTCCACTGAGGTCAAACTGCAGTTCCTGTTTAAAAGAACTTCAGAATCTAGTCCAAGAAAAAGTCTTGTGATTATTAAAAGCAGCCTGTTCTGACCTAATATTTCCATTGTTTGAGCTGTACTTGTAAGTTTTGTCTAGTTTTTAGCTCCCCTGTTGAAGGCCTTTTGCGGGCAAATGTCCTGACTTGATTATACCAATACTCAAAACTCTGTATTTCTCACAGGATGCCAGGATCTCATTCCAAGAATCCAACTTGTAATCATAAGACTAAAACAAGACACAGAAAGTAACACGTATTTGTACTTCTTGCTTGTATTGATAAACTTCTCAGAAAAGTGTCTCTACAATTAGTCACAAACACTTTTTTTCACTGTTTCTTTGTGTGATTATCTAATATAAATCCAAAGTACATTTATGGAGAGTTTTGTTGTCTCCTTACAAAAAATGCTTCACTAGGTTTGTTTTTCCTCCTATTTAAAGGAAGGTCCCAATGTTCAGTGAATATAGAATCCACTGTCTGCCCTCAATCCACCACATACAATTGTTGAGCTTTTTTTGCAACACTTAAATAAAAAAGCAAATTGCTTTTCAGGAAGGAAATTAATATACATTTAAAGATTCATGATTTTTAAAGTTCACAGAAATAAAAAGGTGTAGTATTTCTTAAGATATTCAGCCATTTGCATTTTTAAAATGTTTTTCAAAGATTCACATGGATTTACAAACTAGATTTCTTTTTTTTTTCTTTTTTTTTCCTTACTTGCTTCTGTACAGGCTAGTGGCTCTCAAAAAAGCTGCATAAACAAGATGGAACTTAGGTGATATTACTTCTGAGATGGAATAGGCATAATTCACGTAGTACTCTTTCATACTACACCATAGCTATCTGCAGCTACGAGATTTAAAAGTTTGCTGAAGTTTACCAGAAAATCAATAGTAATGGACAGATGCTGAATTTGATTTTAAATCAACCAAAATCAAATCGTGTCATGAGACTAGTTTTTGTTCGGAGCTAAAATAATTTTGTGGTGAAATGAAAAAATTGGGGAACAAAATAAATGGAATAAAATATATTTTCTTTTTTTATTTTTAAAGCAATCCCAAAAACTTGCAAAGTTTGACACAGACAACTATTGCACCTTTTGTGCAAAACTTAGCTACCTGACAAGCCACAAAAAAATATATGCAATTAAGAATAAGAGCAATCAGCTCTACCATGAAGAGGCTGCTCTTGCTTTAAGTAAAGGACTGGGAAATATGCTATATCAGCAGCCCTAACATCTCATGATTGCACCTCTCATCCCACAAAAATTGTACAAAAAAGATCCAGAATCTTCTAGAAAACCTGTCAAACTATGTACATTCCCATTACTTTATCTTATGATTTCCTGTACAGTTACTAGACCTTTGCTGACAAAAATGAAGTTCAGTATATACGGGGAACATGAGATTAGCCCAGCTGGTCAGATCATGCTGCTAATAATGCCAGGGTTCTGGCTTTGATCTCTGCATGGACCATCCACTTCAGAGTTGGCTTTGATGATTCTTGTGGGTCCCTTCCAACTCAGAATGTTCTGTGATTAGGTCTGTAATATCTAAGGACACAAACAAAGCTTCTTCCTTACCAAGTGCCTGTAAAGCACAAATTACTCCAGAGTTAAAAGTTAATGAAACAGAGGTCCCTGTTAACAGTGAGAACCAATATCTCCCTTTACAGTTGAAGCTGCATAACAGCAGAAGAATAACCTTTTCTCTGGTGCTTGCATTTCAGCTTCAATCCATGCTCATATCTTTTGTATTTTCCTACAGCAAACTTCTCTGCATTGCTACCTGTCCCCT